CGTGCCTAACGCAGACGATCGGGAGAGATTCGGGTGATTGTCCATTGCAATCATGGAAAAGGTTGGTTGTTCTTTTTTTTCGCTGTACGTCCGCAGACACATTCTGACAGCACTNGTGTAGTTCAGTTTTGGGCACGCGTACGGTGCTGCAGGGATTATATATAGGTGTAGTAGTACCTCTTCGGGCTCTTGGATACCTTTTTCTTGCTACGTGTGCGTGTTCTTTAGATCCTCAGATGGCTCTAGCACTTTCGTGACCACGGGCTGAGAGTCTTTGCTAGATTTTGGCATTTAGCAACTGGCATACGGTTTAATGTGAAGTCAACAACAACAACAACAACAACAACAACTGCTGCTCTTCATTCGTAGTGAGTGGGTTCGACGACGTACAGCAACACCACGCGAAACACCCAACCAAGAGAATCCAAAAAAAAAACTCCGATTCTTTTTATTCGCGCCGTTCTCAAAGCGTCGAAGAACGTTGTTGCTCTTCGACGCATCTACTTCTAGCAATGACTAAGAATCTTGGGGCAATCATTGTTTCTTAGACCGGTGCAAGTTTCGGCAAGCTACCGGACGGCACGTCGCCTGTCTTGACGAAACACTCCGAACCCTGTATAGTTTCGTCGATGCTGCTTAGTACACTTTCACAGCACGAGATTGTCATGGACCGCAGACGAGTGGCGGCCACGGTAGGCCAAGGCCCGTCGACGGTGTATGTGTTGTGTTTTCATCCTGTTTATTATGGCGACAGTTGCCCCATTTTTCGTGGTGAGACGTGTACAACGCTTTCCAGCGTATGTATGCAGAGTACTACACTTTTCAGTGTATTTTTTCGTGGTCACACAGGAGGGGGTAAACACCAGGGCCTTCCTCCTGCGGTGCGCGCTGAATTGTATTTTTAACGCGAGAAGGGTCCAGCCGGCCCTTTCCCTCGTCAACAGTGCTAACGTTGAAGTTTGGTACTCACGAGAGCTTGTCAGGTTTATCTCACTTTCACCCGCACATTTCGTAAATTTTTCACCCATGGGGATTCGAACTCACGACCTCTGCGACTAGCGGATTACGAGGATACCACTAGACCACCGGGGCGACCGATACTAGCACATTGTGAAAAACAAGGGATAGATCGGGTCAAAAATTGAGCGTTTCCCGACGAGACTGCTCGTTGTCAAATCAGGACTCCCATGCTGCTAGCTTCCCACACACGAAAACTAGCGCCGCGTTGTTCCCCGCCCGCATGGCTGCGTTCTGTCTTGAATTTTCTCCCAAGGCACCCACTTACTCTCGTCGTCACCAATGTCGCGGACTCCTGCCGGCAGGGCTCGCTCCACCATTCATTTTTGGCTCTCAAGGATGCCAAGAGCTCTCACGCTGTCACTCGCGACCGCCAACAGCCGTAACTCATTTTCGATGGCAACCTCTCCCGCCCTTTCTTACTCTTGTTTCGCTGTTGTAAACCCCAGCGACGAGGTTTTCTCAGACGATTCATGCCCTGATCGGTTTATATTATCGACAATAGCTCGTCCTTGATATCGTCAAACAGACTCTGTTTCTTAGATTGTACCATGATTCCCTCCCCTAAATCAACTTCTTAACACACAACTGACCACATGACTCTGTGCGATATATATCTATCACGCTATACTCAGACAACAAGGTCACAATGTAAGATCGTCGTCGTGAGCGAGCATGATGAGCGTCACAAAGGAATAATAAGGCACCAGAAACACAGATATCACCTACACAAAAAACGCGAGAAGCATCATATTTCCTTCACTACTGCTGACATCTCCAATTTATACCTTATGATACTCTCCTAACAAGTGATGCAAGCAATCCCTAAACTGCACAAAACCCATGTATCAGAACGCGCCTGTGGAAGTGGACCAGTCTTAATAATACTCCTCTCCAACCAAACCCTTCTCCGCGGCATTCTCCTCGAAGCGATATCTCCTTCTTGTTGGAAAATTACTCACTTCTTCACCAGCGTTTCTTGATAAATTTAGACTACAACCCAGCGCTAACAATGTTCGTCCAGCCCGCGCGTTTCCCCTATCACACTCAGATGAAACCCTCCCTAACGAAAACAGGAACAAGCAGACACAGCGTTCGGAGCGAGAGAGAGAAAGTTCCTTCAGGCCATTGTCACTCAAATACAAACTCAAACCGCCGGCCGGAGAAGTATTCGCCTTCCCCGCTTCTTTCACCGTCTCTGCCGCTTCTCGCCGGACCCGCCGCCGCTGCTCTCCCCCCTAGAACTCCTCCTCTTCCCCACGGTGCCCGAGGGCGAATCGCCTCCGTCCACGTCCACGTCCGCGGCGAAGCTGGAGATGGCCGCGGACGCGGCAACGGCGGCGGCTCGCCGGCTGGTCTTGCCACCCTTGCCGCGGGGGGTCTCCCAGGCTTTGGCCATGCGCGCGCGCGAGCGGTTGGCTTCCAGCATGGATTCCTGCCGGCGGGCGGGCGGGTGTACTCATGAAAACGCAAACCGTAAAGGGTCGACGATAGACCTCGAATTCCTGCAACGCCAGGCCGGAGTTAAATAACGGGGTTTTTTCGCCGGCACAAGCTACGTTTCACAAGAATTAACCAGAAGCTGGTCATAGTCCCTACGTTTTGCTGTGTCAAACCAGATTTGCCATGAGTTGGGTGGGCATCCCGGCAAACCGGGCGTTTCGTATTCGGCAGGGACGAACATGCTTCAAGTGCCGCAAAGTACTCTCCTATCTCGGTGCCGGGGTCGAGTCTGAGGGAGAGCATCCGGCTCGCTGCGCTCGCCGACGTTCACAAGAGCGTTGGATAGACGGACGGATGACGCGGCTGGGTACAACGTTTACTTTGGTGCAGATAGGGCGGGATTGCTGGTGGAATACTCTACTACCATGACAGTGCTCCTACGCAGCAACTTCACCGCGGGGTATCCGTCACTGCTACACCGGCCGTTGCAAAGTTCTTGTATATTTTGTGCCGATGTACAAGTATCGCGCGCAAACGTGAGTACAAGACACCGAACACAACACACGCAGGACAAAAACAAAGACCCAAGGAAAGATGCATACCTTGCCGATGCCAAAGAGATAGGCCGTCTCCACCAGGGTGAGGAACCCGAGGGCCAGGGTCCCCACCGTCTTGGCCGCCTTGATGGCCTTCACCCAGCCCTGCCGCGCGCCCCAGTTCTCCCAGAGCGTCAAGCGGAACTGAGTGGGGGACGCCTCCGGTCCGTCTTCGTCCTCCTGCAATCGCCGGCGGGGGGGGAGGGGGGAGGGTCCGTGGATGTGAAAAAACGGTGGTATCTGTGTCACGAGGAGGGCCTTCTCCTGTGTACCGCCCAGGAACGAAAAATTGCCGTTTCACTCGCCGGCCCGGGTAACCACCGAGGTGTCTCCGTCTCCGCTTTAACGCCCAACGCGGTAGCACTGCATCTGCAGCAGCACTAGTCCAGGGTAGAAATTCAAAGGGTACCGTTTTAGGTGGATGGCGTTCCGGAACGGGCTGTACCCCGCTAGGTCGTCATAATCTGGATACCATTATTTGTTCGTTGCCGTTAGAAGGGTGCTGCGGTACGGATGCGACAACAAAGGTCTGCCAATACAGGCACACGAATCAAGGTTCTTCCGCGTCAGCGTGTCATCCCCGTTGCGTATTGCGGGAATAAACGTCCTGCGTTGAGAGAAACAAAGACGCCTCCTCTCTTGATTTACACAACGTGTGTCTTCACTATCGTAGCTCAAGATTCAGTAAGTAAGGCATCTCCATGGAAGGGGCTAAGTGTTCTTCTCGCTACACCATACGCGTGACCCCGACTGCCTGCGCGAAATTTCAACGGCATGGCCGCAAAAGTGGACCCACACCTCTTCTTCCTCCTCGTCTTCCTCCTCCTCCTCCTCCTCCTCCTCCTCTTCCTCCCCGTCTCCGTCTCCCTGGCCGGCGTTGCTTTCGTCCTGAGAACCATCATCATCCTGACCAACAATACAACAACAAAACATAAGGGGCAGGGGGGATACGAGACAACGAGCAATGATTTTGTCGCGGTGCGCAAGGTGTTGCTGTCATCGCCGTGCTAGCGCTATCGACGGTATGGTTGTCTTCGCATATACGGGGGGTATCCTACACCTTCTACCTACAAAGCCGGGACGGAGCACGCCGGGTTCTCACCGGACCAGGCTCTCACNCATTGACCTCGCATCCCTACAAAGCCGGGACGGAGCACGCCGGGTTCTCACCGGACCAGGCTCTCACATCACCAAGCGCGAAGCGCCGTGAGATATTCGGCGGGTCGCATGAAGGGTGCGCTGCATGCTGCTAAGGGTGTTCGGCATCTTGCGCTTACTTCCTTGTGTACGGATGACAGCTGCGTATGACTTAATTTATTTTTTGGTGCATTCACTTCCAGAGACAGTTATAAGCACTGGGTAACTGCTTCGAGGGTGCTTGACCATTTTAACACAACGTGGTGCGATTATCCCCCTTGCGCGGAGTGAGGCTTCTCCGCCCCGCACAACATGATCTACTCGACCACCATTATGGTTACCGCCAAAAAAAAACTGAAGTAAAAAAAAAAACGGTAACCTGGTTGCCGAGCTCACGAAGTGAATTGGCTTGTTTTACAACGTCGTTGCCAAGCGACGAATACGCAATCCCGATGGCAAACACCGATGGGGGGCTTGTTTTACAACGTCGTTGCCAAGCGACGAAAACCCAACTCCCATGGCAAACACCGGGGGGGGCGGCTTGTTTTACAACGTCGTTGCCAAGCGACGAAAACCCAACCCCGATGGTAAACACCGGGGGGGACGGGGGGGGCTTTTCTTCGCGGCCGGGTGCGGCGCCCCCAAGGAAGACGGGGGGAACAGAAACGAAAAAAAACTTATTTACCGCAGGTGCTTCGTTTTGTATCATTCGCGCAGCACGAAAAGATCAACACATGCGCAAAAAACACAACACAGGTCCACCTGGCTTACGGACACGTTCGCCAAGAGGCTGGCCAATGAACAGACAGACACTAGCCTCACAGCGGGATAATACCACTTGACTCGAACACATTTTCAAAGCATCGTGCTTGCCCGACAGACCATAGCGTGTGCGAGCGCGCCTGTTGTCCCGTTGCGGAGCATCTGCCGCGCTAACCATGAAAAGGCGTCAGTTGCAGCGAGGCAACGTGTGGGCGTGGGCTCGCGCGCGCGCTGTGCGTGCGTGCGTGTCCATGTATCGTTTCTAACCTCTTCGTCTTCCTCGTTCTCCTCCTCGTCGTCTGGCATTTCCTCGACGCCCTCGTCGAAATACTTCATGGCTTTTGCTAACTCGTGGTCCTCCATGTCTTCCTCGTCTCCGTCGTCGTGGACCACGTGCCATAGCTACAACGAACAAACATAGAAAAAAATGGATTGTGAAGAGGACATCAACAGAAACAGACAGCAGCGAACACAAGGAACCGCCATCACTAGATTGGAGAACACCAGCAGACAGCACAGGGACGAAAAAAAACACCACCATGACAGAGACCACGTTAGCAAGGCGGCAAGAGAGAGAGAGAGAGCACCATAACAACACCAATCCGCAGCAGCAGCAGCAGCAGCAGCAGCAGCAGCGAATCGCCAAACGCAAGAAAGGAAAATGACAAAAACGGCGAGAGATGAACCCACACACGCGAAAGAGAAACACCACAACATGAAATCCCTAGTATCGTATCGTGCAGATATGTTCAAGTAAAGACCACAGGAAAACCGATACTCAAAAAAACGCAAACACGTGTGCGTGCTGAAATGAAACAGCTCACGGACATGTTTTTCGTATCCCAGGTTGACCGAATAATGTGCCCGATGCTGTTTCCAGGAGCAGTGTCGTCCACTCCCACAGTTTTTGTTCGTCTGCCCTCAGGAGGCTGGCTGCCTACAATACCATATCTGCAACGAAACGCGTTCTCCGCAAGAAAAACAAACTGTAAAAAAAAAAAAAAGCAGGGAGACGCAAAAATAAACTACATCGATAAACTTCAAAAAATACCTCGGGGTCTCCGTTCTTTGCCGGAAGGTGCGCCGCCACCGTGCAGTTGCTCTTGCCGAACTCCTACAACACGGACACAAGGGTGCAAGAAACAGGAAATGAGATCGACGGAGGGGGGAAGAACAGCAGAGGGACAGGGGGCAAAACTGGCGCCACGCCTGAGAAAATTTAAGTTTTCCCATCAAGTGGGCGCAAAAAAAAAGCGTGTGGAGCAGCGCTTCAACGTGGTCGAGCTAGCCGCGCGACTGCCGGGGGTTGGCAAGGTCGCCGAACTGGTAACCGAATATACGCGATAGACGTATCACAAACAATTGACAAGGTCACACACCAAGACGAACCCCAGTGAGAGCTGCCATGAAGCTGAGAAGCATTTTGAATGCTTCGGTTGCCTTGACGCCAGCACAGCACGCCACGCGCGTTTGTCCCAACGCCTAAGAAACGCGCTAAACGCTGTGGCCATGCGACCGCTGCCCTCTGTGACGCAAGAAACCTACGCCATCGCTGTGCAGTGAGTACGATGTATGCGCATCGACACGAGCCGCACCTTGAAGAAGCGGCGACAGCGGCGGCCGATGAGGGGGTGGGCATCTGGAGAGAAATTCCAACCCTTAGCCTCCAGCTCTGCAAAACGAAAAACAAACACAGGAGAACGTGAAACAACAAGCACCGACCGGGTTCGGCTACAGTGTTATTGCAGGAGCGGTCGCATGGACACACCGCCGAAGGCAAGCAAGCGAAGGTCGACATGCTTGGCGCATGGAATGGTTCAGCAGCGCCTCTTTTGGTTGTTAGCGCGCCGACGACAAGAGGGCTTGACCAATCACAGCAGTCTCTAGCACCACTACCCACGACTGACGCAGTGCGAACAGCACCACCTCAAACAGCAGCGCCAATGACACGGCCGCAATCACTGTCGACAGGGTCGATGTGGGTCTTTCTAACTCCTAGCGTGGGTTGCATGACGGAAGATACCACGCCCCCCGGAGCGATTTTCAAAGCTATCACTCCACGACGAAAAGGATTGCTGGAATCAAAGGATAGGTTGTCGGGAAGCTCTCGACGAGACGGTTCCAGCGCCTCCCGCCACCTTCGGCACCGCCGTTCACTACTGTTCCTGTCAAGTAATCGAGTTTTGAAAATCGGGCCAGCGGGTGTCATGTCTTCCGCAACCTACGGTAGCATCGGCCGGGCTAACTAAACGGCCGACCAATGACAAGACCTCAAGCATGAGTGTGTGCGTAAGGTATATGCGTGTGCTTGTGCTTGTGCTTGTACAACTAGCGTCGACCGGGCAGACCAGCTGAACCATCAAAACCCGTCGGCCTTACAGCGGAAAGGAAACCCCACCAGCTTGTGCAAATTTTCGTTACATCTGCAGCGTGCACTGGGCGCCAGTCCTAAAACCCATTCAGAAGAAACGGAAGTACTTCCAGTAGTCTGACGCACCACACAGCACGGGACAAGACCGCGACAGCCAAAAGACGACAACCCCGTACACACTACCGCCCCCAACACATGCTGCAGAGGGCGGGCGGTTCTCGACCTCACCCATGCGGCCGCCCTCCATCTTGTCCTCCCCCTCCTGGAGGCCCCGCAAGGTCTCCTCCAGCATCAGAATCGCATCCTTCATGTCGGGAACCCCGGCCGCGTCCTTGACGAGCCGCAACCACGCGCCGCGGGGAGTGGCGGTGTTCGAACCCTTCGCGTAGTCCCTGGGAGAAATCAAGAGTGCAAAATGGCAGAAGCAAATTTTGTATTTACTGCAGATTTTGGGGGGGGGGTATGAAGACATGTCATCCATGAGCAAACAGCTCTTAGGATGTGCGCGCGCTAGAACATACTGAGCAGAGACCCGCAAGTGTTTTTTGTGTGTTTAACTTGCGCAGGACAACAACGCGTGCTTTTTTATAGTAAAGAGGATCAGGAAGGCAGATCGAACAACAATTCTCAACTGCTTTCTTGCAGTACGAAAGACAACCACCAAAAGCTGACTTTGATGATCGCGCTCACTATCTTGTCCCCGTTCCATTGTTAGAAGGTAACCCCAAGCACAACCCCAACCCTATCCCTAACCCTATCCCTAATCGTAACCCTTCTTCGTGATTGTTGCGTGGAGAACAAGTACCCTTAGGCATGCAGTGCAGAAGCCTATCATGGTAGCACATAGAAACAGCTCGGCAACTTTCCACTCTGAGCGCATCATCACTGAGCCTCCCAATGTTCCTGTCATTGCGGAGCAAGTCGGTAAGGTCGCAACAGCCACAAGCGTCTCCTGCAAACCGGACGACTCCAAGACAAGTTTTCTTGCTCCTTGCAGAGGAATGTGATGAACGACGTTGATGCGCCTGCCAACGCCGTCGCTGGTAGTGGATGCGGGCTTCATACCCTAGCCCACACACACGCACGCCTCGATGTCAACAACGAAACATACTACGGATAGGTATGCTGCTAACCTGGTGCGGTCTTTGATGTCATCGAGCATCCCCGCTTCTCTGTGCAGCAAGGCCTCCTGCAGCGCGGAAACCCCAAGATCTCGCTCCTTTATCGCCTGCATCTTGTTGAGACGATTCATGTACTCTGCAGGCCACAACAAACGAAAACATGGCACGTACGGCGTGGCCAAATCGAAGTCAGGAATCCCCACGAAATAACAAAGGGTTTTCGTACGACAACGCCGACAGTCTAGCAGCTAGTCACGTCGGTAGATGGAGTCAAAGCTCGCCGCCAAAAAAAAAAAAGAGCTGCGCATACTCACGAGCAAGTTAGTGGCGAGAAGGAAGATCGAGGTCGACAAACAAACACCACCATCACAAACAAGGCGAGCAACAAATGGTGAACCATTCCAGCGGAATGCTGAACAGGACAAAACCCATACAAAAGAAATACCCTCCGATCGTCGTCGCCCTTTTCTCTCATCACCAACATGCCCCCCTCCTACGCTCTCGATAACCGTTCGCGGTCAACGGTCGAATGACGCAACGTACTCGACGACGAATCCGTGGTCAAAGGTCAAAATACACGGCGTTTCCGTGCCGTACTAGACAAACCCGCCACAAGGGCCAAACTTCCCCTCCAACCACCCGCGGCCAACGGTCAACCGGCCCGACGTAATACCACAACCGCAGGAGGGGGTCCGACTTCGGTCGTCTAGCAGGTAGAAGTGGAGGATAGGGGCCAGAGCCGCACACGACAGAGTCCAACGATGGGAGAAAAAAAAACAAAAAATACCAGAACCACCCATGGGTCAACGGTCCCACCACCCAACCGCCAACAAGAAAAGTGCCCCCGACCCCCTTAGCTCTCACCAGAGAAGGTCTGGCTCAAGCTCCCGTCCACCGCGGCCTTGACAAGCTCCGAAACGCCGTCGCCACTCCCGGGTCCCGATCCCGCCGCCGCCACCGCCTCTTCGGCCTCGGCCATGGCCATCCCCTCCTTGACCTCGAACTCCTCGAGGTCCTCCTGTTACAAACAGAAACAGGTGCATGCACGTCGCGGCGGTGGTCTACAAACAGCGTAGGTGTGTTCTGTGCGTTGTACTCCTGTTCAAAAAAGAAGGAAGCATGGTGGTCGAACAGCGGTCGACATATAGCGTTGGTGTGGTCTGAGCCTTGTTGTTTTTTTGTCTTCACTTCAAATTAGCGCTATCCACTAGGCCAGGAGCGGAAGCGAGAGAAAACTCACTTTGCAAGAAAAGCTCGCTTACGCCGGGATTCGAACCCCCGACCTGACCTCTAGAAGGTTTCGAGGTTACCAACTAGACCACCGGGGCGACGGGCTATGCGACCTGTTGAAAACGAAACGGGCACACGTAGCCGTTTACCAACAGCGTACGTACGTTCTGTCCTTGCATACCTGGCAAAAAGAGAAACAAGTGGTACAGGTAGCGTGGTGTTCTACAGAAACAGCGGTCCCTGTTTTCGCTTTTGTTGTATACTTCGTTATAGGTCTTGTTCTAAAATTCTACGAATAGTGTTCGTGGGTGCTGTGCTTTATATGCATATGTAGCGGCGGAACAGTCCGAAAAGACAGGGCCAACGGAGACACCCGGGGGGTGGGGCTTCTCTCTTCCAAACACCGAGTTTCGTCGTAACATCGATCAAACGCGCGTGCTTGCCGTTGTGTGATCCGTGGCTACGGGATCTTTTTGCCAGCGGGGAGGTGAAATAAATTCACCTCGTCGCCGTCGTCGTGGCGGAGGGAATTTTCTTGGAATAGTACAATGTGCAACCCGGCTTCCTGTTCTCAAGAAAAAAAATGAAAACATCTCGTCGACGACGTCGAGTTTTTCTCGGAAAATTCTTCGACCCGACTTTCTATTGCTCACGAAAAAAAAAAAAAGTCACCTCGTCGCCGTCGTCGTGGCGGAGGTGCCACAGCGCCAGCCCCTGGTTGCTCTCCTTAGGGATCCACTTCGTAACCGTGGCGCCGGCAACCCTCCGGCCGAAGACCCGCTTCACGCGCTTGCCGAGGTACTCGGAGCCCTCCTCGCGCCAGGACATGCTGCCTCCGCTTTTGGCGGCATCCGACATCGATATCGCTCTTCCGTGGGATGGTGCGGGATGGGATGGGATGGGATGCGATGGGATAGGATGCGGGGGTGATGGGAGATGGCGCATTGGTTTGGAATTCTGCACGTGGAGCTCATTTGTCTTGAAAATACAAGAGAAAACACGCCTCACGACGAAAAAGCGAAACCATTCAGATACTGCGAAGAACAACGTTTGCAGCTCTTGAGAAGGCAGATAGAAGACGTCACACTTGTCTTGTCACACCTGTCCTTGGCGTCGCGCTCTAGGTCAGATATATCGAATCTCTCCTGCAGCGCCTGCTTGAGGTCAGCCTCCCGCTTTCCCCTCGGGTCCAGGCTCTCGATCAGATTCAGGAACTCCTCCGGCTGACATGAGAAGAAAAACAACACAGACACACAAGAAGAGGACGCCAAACAATTTGGGCGCTTGCGGTGATACAGCGAATTCGGGTTCCTCGTTGGAAAGTTAAGGCCGTAGGGTAGAAACTCCTTCTCTCTCTCTCTCTCTCTCTCTCTCTCTCTCTCTCTCTCTCTCNCTCTCTCTCTCTCTCTCTCTCTCTCTCTCTCTCTCTCTCTCTCTCTCTCCCTCTCTCCCTCTCTCTCCCTCTGTCTCTCTCTCCCTCTATCTCTCTCGCCCTCTATCTCTCCACCTCCCTCCTTCCTTCCTCCCCCTCTATTTCTCCTTGCCTTCCTCCCTCCCCTGCCTCCCTGCCTCCCTCCCTCCTTCCCTGCTTCCCTGCCTCCCCCTTACCGTATCGTAGTACATCCAGACAGACTCCGACCACACCGGGTGGTACACCTCCATCGGGGGGTGTGGGGCCTTGTCCGCCACCACCTCGGCCTGCTTGTCCGAGGAAGAACTAGCGCCGGTGCCGTTAGCATCGCCGTCAGCGGTAACCTCCGCCTTAGTCTTGCCCTTACCGGTGGCCTTGGTCGTGCCGGTGCCGTTGACGTGGTCGTCATCCGCGACGGCCTCCAACTCGATCGCCGAGGATACCGGCGTCTGATCAACAAAAGCGATTTCACGGGGGGAGGGGGGGGGGGGGNGGGGGGGGGGGGGGGGGGGGGGGGGGGGGGGGGGGGGGGGGGGGGGGGAGTGTCAACATCGAGTCGTGCCCAACGGACAGACAGATCAGAGAACAAGGAGAGACAGGGAGATAGAGAGAGAAGAGGCAGAGAGGGACGGAGTTAACGAAGGAAACAAAAGACAGAGAGAACCCAAACAACGCCAATCGTGGGGCTGAAAAAAAACGCGTCTTGCGAAGAAACTCTGTCGTGCATTTGCGCCGGTGAGGGTGCGTGCCAAGACCGATTCGTGCCCGACGAACGACAGACAGACCCACGACACAGAGACACATGGTAAGAACAAAACACTCGGTGAAACAAACTCTGCTGCACACCACGCCGTCCGGTAACACCACCAAACACGAACCCGCGACGATGACCTCCTCTCGATCGACATAGAGGGCGCACCAAACACCCGCTCACGCCGACGCCATCAACACCGCTGTGGTGGGACTACTCGACGCAGCGTCAGCTTCGAAAAATAGCCAAGAAAAGATTCTGGGGGAAAAAAAAAATAAGACGAGAGGCTGGGATTGCGAACTACTTTTTTGGTTCGGGAAACTCATTTTTTCGATTTCAGAAAATTTCGAACCATGTTTCAAGCCTCGGAAATGACCGTTCTACACCACTGAAAGACGCTACCAACCCTCGTCGCTCGCACGACATGACACGACCCCACAACCAACGACAACGGATAAGTGCCGATTTCCCCTAGGCGTAGTAATGACGTGCCGTTCGCTCCCATATGGCACGCTACACGGTATATTCCGTAATTCTGTCCTAAAAGGTGTATGTTAGAGCATTGTCTTTCGTTCCTGCAAGGTACGTCATACGGGTATACGGGATACGGGAGAATATTCAGTTGCCGTTACCGCGGCTCACCTTGGGTGGCGTGTCCTCGACGGCGGGGACCCCCTCCCTGCGGGTGATCACCTCCACGTGAATCCTGCCAACGCATCAAGGCGTCGAACGTACACACATACATACATGGGCGTCGAAAACCACCGAAAGCAATGGAGATCTCCGTCCAAAAAATAGACGCAGTAGAGTCGAAACGACACACTCCGGTCGACAGAAAAAATGCGGCGGGATTTAAGGGCAGCGCTCAGGGCGGGGCCGAGAATGTGCGAGGAATTAGCATTCAACTAATGTCTCGGGGTGCGGTTAGCCCGTGGGGCTCTTTTGTCTCCATACGTTGCCATGTGCAAAACACAAGGCAGCATCATACAAGCAAAATTCTGCGCAGACACATGTGCTGCCACGGGTGCTCCAAAAGTGCCACATACAGGTCCCCTCGAAGTCGCTAGCCTAGTCCCCCTCTCTCGAAGGCCGATACTTCTACTGGACACGATCCCTTGCGTCAAAAACCAAACAATACTAAGAGCACACAAAATACATCAACAAGGACCAACAGCCGCGTCACGAGATTAAACACACGTTCATTCCCCCCCCCCTCGACTTCGATCGCGATACTCCCCTCTTGCGAAGGCCACTAACTGCAACACACACGTTCTCTTGCGTGCAAATTTGAACCAAATACCTTAAGGCACTCCTACACAACAGATCAACACCTTGTGTCGGACGAGACACTCGTTGAAGCTCCCATTGATGTACACCTTAATCCTCCCCTCTCAAACACGCTATATGGACAGGACACACGATTTCCCTCTCACCAAGCACGCTACACGTATACCAACAGCTCATACCAACAGCTCATGTCTAAGAGACAGCACATATTGATAAGCTTCTAAATGTCAAGCATCACATTCGTATATACCTCGAATCCCCCTCGAAGACCCAGTACCGCCGGCCGTCCCTGTCGGACCCCAGGGGCTCCGTGCGGACGAACTTCTCCGCCATGAGCCCCTTGTACTTCTGCAGGATCTCCGTTCGCCCCATGCGCTCCTTGGCGTTAGAAAGCGCCACGTAAGCGTCTCGCATCTGGTACCGGCAGATCAAAACAAAGTTGCAAACGTCATGGCAGTAAGCATGGCAGTGAGCATGGCAGCGAGCATGGCAGCGAGCATGGGACGCAGTAAGCACGACGCCACAGCAAAGAAACAGATGGGCGGATTGATGCCACGCCAAGACTACTATACTACTTCGGCAACAATTCGTACCACTCACGCCTACGATGTGTACTGATCGCTACACATGTGATTGGGCCTACAGGTAGGTAGTACCAACCGTTACAACATAATATCTCTTCGTCACCTCGGGGCACAAGAACCTGGTTCCATCGCCATCCTCCTCCTCGAGAAGCACCTTCCTCCCTTCCTTCAATGCCTCCTCTAGACTCTGGACATCCCCCTTAGCCGTCGCGGCCTTCAGAGACTGGGTGTGTGGGGTTGATCGAGCGAAGGCGGCGCGCATTTGCGGGCATAAGAAACGCGCCCAAGGCGCGAGTGCACGAGCGGGCATGTGAGAAAAACGAAAAAAGCTCCTTTCATGTGTGACCTTCCTCGTTCGTGACCCCAGCCAATGCAGCAACGTCTGAACATGAACGCATATGGAAGGCGCGTTGACTGGCGACAGAGCTGACGGAAACGATCACGAACACAGCTCCACACTGCTGTACGCACTGACGCATTTCATTGGTCAGCCGATTAGCACGGTCAATACCAACAATTTACACACAAACACCGCAATAAGCAATTTTCGAATTTTGGCCCCATCCCAGGGACCTTGATTTGGATTTTTCCCGCCGGCACGGACGTCTTTTCATTGGTCAGCAGCCGGGTAGAGCACGGCCCAAGCCCATTCAAAAACGCGCCCGCACGTTTTTCAGCCGCACTTGAGACTGGTGTCTTTTCATTAGTCAGCAGCCGGCGGTTGGAGCATGGTCGATGCCAATAAGCAAACACGCACAGTCACACACCTGCAAGGCTCTGACTTGGTGTACCCTCTGCAGCCGCCTCTCCTTCCACTCCTGCCTGCGCTTGTTGCGCTCCTTGTCCCTCGCGTCCTTCTCGCGACGCCGCTGGATCAGCTCGATGCGTGTGAGGTTTTCGAGCATGATCTTCTTGGCTGCCTTGTCCTCCGCCAGCTGCTCCGCCTCAAAGGGGTCGACGTCGTCTTCTGGGATATCGATCTGATTTTTTTTTGTGGGCGACGTTTTCGCAATGAATTGGTTTTGATTGCTGAGAAAACATCATGTTTTGTGGGACCTTTTTTTGTTCAGTGATTGGTTGTGATTATTGAGAAATATACCTTTTTGTCGGAAGTTGTCGTAATGATAGGTTTTGACTACCGAGAAAACATCCCTCCGTTGTGGGGCATTTTCGTAATGATTGGTTTTCAGTATTGAGGAAACAGTTTCTTTCGTTTTTTCGGATGACATTTGCGTATCGGGTGGTACTGCTCGTAAACTTACCGATCTGAGCTTGTAGTCTCCGCCGCAAGCCTCCTTCGCCGTCTCCTCTATGATGCCCGACATAAGCTGCGCAGAGTTTCGAAGTTGGAGCAGTGGGTGGCGTAACCAATCAAACGTGTGCAACAAACGCGAGAGGGGACGCGAACAACGTCAACAGCCACACCACACCGACGAACACAGTCAACAACGGCAGGAACAGCAGCAACGCCTGAGCTCAACGACAACAGCGACAAAACCACCAACAGAAACAACGGTAACGACACCACCAGCGTGAGGGCAAACAACACCAACAACTGCTTCTTGATGACATGTTTCAGCTCTTGCTGTCATCAACAACAACAACAACAACAACAACAACAACAACAACAACGGCAACGCGTCGCCAAGCCACAGCACTCGATCACACCTGCCCCCTGTCCGGCTCGAAAATCTTGGGGTTGACCTTCACGATCCCTCCCCCCTGCGTCTTGAGCGTCTTCAGCCCGTCCTCGCCGTCCTCCCCCCCGCCGCCGCCCGCCTTCCCTTTCCCCTTCTTCCCCTTCCCCTTCCCCTTGCCGGCGCCACCACCGCCTCCATCTCCGCCGGGCACCGCTCCCGGCGCGGGTGACGCCGCCCGAGCACCGTTGCTGCTAGCAGCACCGCCGTCGCCGTTAGCTACCGCCGCCGCCGCCGCCGCCGCCGCCGCCGCCGCCGCCGTAGCGTCGCCACCGTTGTTCTTGCTCTTGTTCTTACCGTTCGCGACGGCGGCGACTAGCCCAAGCTCGATCGCTCTCTTGGCCCGTTCGGCCGCCGCCTTCTCGGAGTCCCACGCGCGCTGGAGGTAGAGCTCCTCGTTCGCCTTGCGGAGACGCGCGTGCACCTGTGTAACGCATCCGGCGGAGGCACGCGGAAGGTATTGATTTCGGGGGGGAAGGGGGGGTACACATGTAAGAGCATGCCGAAGTCGATAGACCGTTGACCTCGCATCCCTACAATGCCGGGCAGAGCGATACTTCGGGTGTCGCCGGCCCATGCTACGTTTCACAAGGAGAACCGCGTGACACTCATTTGACCTTCTGCACGGTGGCCTTCTCCCGCCAAAATGCGAAGACTGTCCCCACCAACCCACAACCTGCCGCATGTAGCAATGAGGCACACCTTGACCTTCTGCGCTGTGCAGCGTCCTCCCTCCAAAAACCGAACATTGCACCACCCACAAAAATAAACAGACGAGCGCAAACAGGCACCCACCTTTACTTTCTGTGCTGTGGCCTTCTCCCTCATCTCTCGGTTGTACACGATGATCTCCTCGCGCCTCTGCGACTCCAGGCTCATCCTGGCGGCCATGTTATCAGCCAGCAGGGACCGGATGCGCTTGGTCTCGTAGGCCGTGTCTACCAGCACCTGCCAGGAACAAAAACAAAATGCTTGCATCAGCAGCTTACCCCGCGTCGAGAAAGTTCTGTTCTGCGTGGCCCCCCGGCTCTTGGGCCCTTGAGCTAGAGAGAGGAGGGACGGAAGGGACGGAACGGTAAAGGTGCGTTGTTTTTCAGCGTGGCCCGCCCCGGATCAGAGCTCGTGAGTTGACAGAGAAGAAGAGCGATAGGCGTGTAATCTCATGCGGGTCAGATACTACTGTGTGTCGAATACTCCCTTTTCAGCAATAAACCAACTGCCTATACAGCACGGATTCAAGTGCGGA